TTCTCATTAAGTTTTAAAGTAGACAGCTAGGATGCAAAAGTAGGCGGCATGGTCACTGAGTGCTGTAGGCAATTTCAGGTTTTCACTCTCTCAATTTACTCTTTTTTCCTAAAAAGTAGTAGGGCTGCAACGATACATTTTTTCACGATACGATACATATCTCGATACAGGTGCCATGATACGATACACGATATGATACATCATTACATAAACTGACAAGTGACATAATCATACTAAAGTGCTTTGAAATCATTTTTCCACACGGGAAGACATATCAACAATGACTTTAAAAACAAACAAACAAACAAACAGACAGACAACTTAAACAGGACAGGTAATGTATTAAATCTTTTAATCTACAGAGCACCGCCTACAGTTCACTTCCACAGAATAGTACATTCAGTTAAAGAGGGGAGATTTTTAATTGAGACCATTTCTTTTTAAAAGTGTCTAAAGAATTATGGAATTGTGCTTTACTTGATATGACTGAACATTTCTGAAAGTTTCTGATAGTAACTTGAATAAGCTTCAACTGGTGATGTTGGCCTTAAAGCACCTGTAACTTGAGGTAAGTTCACATAAGTTAAGGAAGGGAACTGGTTGTCACCAATCACATAAACATATAATTTATGTTGTAGTTAATTTTTGGTCTCAGGTGAATTTTTATTTTTCATTTGTTTCAACTCCATTACTGTCAAACTCCAAAAACTGTGAACCCCTGAAAAATTTCAGGAGTGTTGATTGTGTACTGGCCAATTACACTAAAGTTCAGGAATACGCAAGCAAATCTCAAAACCACAAACTAATAACCGTCTGCTGTTTGAGTGTTAGTTATCTCGTGCCTTATTGGCTAATTTCTCGCAACACAATAACATTGCATGAATATTTCTGGTGTTCATAGTTTTGCGAGTTTCACAGTAACATTCATTAACATACCCAAAAACAAAAAAAATTACTTGAGACGAAAAATTAACTACAACATATACATGTACAGGCAGAATATAATTCATCAACACTTTGTACAAAAAATAATTTAGCTTGGAGAGCTATTTCCTGGCTTTTCCAATCCTTCACTTACTTTTTTCTCTGTGTATTTATTGCTCCTCTTTATCAAGGTGATAATATTAAAAAAACGCATGTAGAATACATAAGCATTCTCCTCATCTCCTTCAAAATCGTGATCCTTTGCCTTTAGGTACACCTTATCAGCTGATTTGATGAAACTACAATTAAATACAGATATAACAGAAAAAATTTAATAACTATTGTTCAGTCCATTTTGTTAGTTTGGAGCTTACAGTGGGCATTCAAAACACCGTCCATAAAAGTTTCAAGCACTGCTGAACTAGTCGGTGTCCAGTTTTGTCTCTGCAAAGTCATTTCATTACAAGTCCTTTTGCTGCATCATAAAGTCAGTTAGATGCAAAACATTGTTAATTTCACTGTATCAAAAAATAGATTCCCTTCATAATAAAAGTTAGATTAATATATCTTGTCCTTCATCTTTCTTTGGGTCAACTGTCTGGTTAGTAACCGGTCAAGTCAAATGAAAGTCATCTTGCCCAAAACAAGTGCAATAACTGAGTAATATCTTGTCCTTTATCTTTGATGAGACAAAACAAGTGCAATAAATGTGTAATAGAGTAACCTGAGATCAGGCTCTATTTTAGTTTCGCTTTGAAAATTACATTCCGGCAGGCAAGGCGAAACGAAAAGAGAGCCTGATACAAACCTTCTACGAAACGTCTGCCACTCACTTTTTTGATTGATTGACATTTGCCGAATCAGCCAACCAAAATTACTTCCGTTGCTTGTTTTTCTAGTATGCAAATTTTTCACGCGTGGGAAAAAAGCAGACTGGCTTTTATCTATTAAATTTTTTCAGCTTAAAATAAAACAGTCAGCACAGTCACATTTAACTTCTTGTGAGATTAAGGGAGATCTCGAAGGTTATTTCTTTTGGCGTAGAAGGTAAAAAGTTTTCGAAAAGATGGCGACACAATGTTCTACTAGTTTTATTTTGGCTAGGCGCGCTCGAATTTAAAATACTGAAATTTCTATTTTTCTGTTGCCTTAATATTTTCCGTGGCAATTTTTCCAGATTTTCAGTACATAAATCTTTAAAAACAAAAGCAAACAGCCAATGAGCGAGGACACCAGTTTTCCTGGTTTATTTTTTACAAAAAGCGAAGGAAAAAAAACAGTCTGTTACCTTAAGCGCCCAGCTTTTATAATAATGCCTACACTGAAAATTCCTTGAACAGCCATGCGATATTTTTGGTTTAATACTTCACAATTGGCGATTGAGGTTTCTTTTGCAGGGAGCCTCCGATTGCGTTCCCCGTTCAGAGAAGTCATTCCCGGCTAAACTTTCAAATGAAACCAGTTTAAAGATGGACAGCATTTTGATTTGCACTCGTTAGTTGGTAAATCAAAAGGCAACTTGTTAGTGGTCAATAACTTGCAGAGGGATTCAACTCTGCGATACACTCACATTAGTTCCATAAATAAAGCAAATCCTGAGAAGATATGAACAACCATATGAATTTTCTGAATTTCCATGGCACATATCAAGGCATATTTTCCTACCATAAGACCATAAAACAATAAAAAAGACAGCAAAATCGATCCTTCTCTCTGCCAACGACGGATCATTCACGACGACAACCATGCAAGGAATGAACGCTTTCAACTTCCGGCATTTCCAACAGCCAATCAGATCTTGTGGCATTGTTCTAACAGCCAATCAGCGTTACGGCCAAAATCTTGCCGTAACGAGCACAAATGTGAGAGAGTTTGTATCAGGCCCAATTTTAGCGGTAGCCGTTAGAGAGAATGTATGAGAACCGCTAAAATTGGGCCTGATCTCAGGTTAGTAATAGAGCAGCATAAAAATTCCGGTGACATAACTCAGCATTTCAGGCAAATTAACTTAAAGTTCTTATAAAATAACTAAGCTAGTGCATGTGCTCTGATTGGCTGAGAGGTGTGTTTGCATGAGAGTATGTAAACATGGTTGTGACATCAATATGTTTTGCTTTTTGCATGCTAATCACGCAAGCAAGAATTTGAAAAAGTTTTTGAGTTTAAAACTCCACAAGTTTACCTTATTTACCCATTCCCTCGTTGGCTGAAACTTGGAAAAAAAATGTGCTAATTTTTTTTACTTAAGCTGACATTTCAAACGAGAAAAATCTGTAATTTGGAAAGCATCTTTTTTGCAAAACTGATTACATGACCAAGACATTTGTGTACAAGAATTTCTGACTGGTGAGAATTTCTCTTTTAATCAGTGCCATAACAAGGAGTTTTGCATTTTTTCACAGGACAGTTAATTTATAAAGAGTAACAGGAAACTTTTCTCCTGTATTTGCATAGCCTGATATAAACACGTGAGGGGTTGGGAAAATTCTCAACAATTATGCAAGCCCCCAACGAAGTCGAGGGTTTGAATAACTGTCTCAAATTCTTCCAGCCCCTCTCGTGTTTATATCAGGTTATGCAAACACGGAAAACCTTTTCCTTTTGTTCAAACAGTACGTACCTTAAACTTAGATTTAAGACCTACTCCAGATCATCAAAAAGAAGAAAACAAATATCTCCTGACTATCCGATTATTATTGATATTCCTTAGGTACAGTGTAAGTTTCAGTTTTTTGTATCGAAAATTAGGTAAGCTTACTTAAGCTTATATGCAATGAGCTTAATGGTAAATTTGACATGCGACTCAGCTTCTGAGAATTAAATCAAGAGAGCATCTCCGTGTTACACTCTGTTCACGATAATCCATAACAAGGAGAAAAAAACTGAAACTTACACTGTACCTACTCCATGTATACTGTTAAAATTTGATTGACTGAAAAGTGCAACGATAACAGTAAACAATAACAATACAGAATTATATTTAGTAACGTACGTTGCGGGATTCACACTTCTAGAGTCTGCTGGAAGGCCAGAATCAGCGAGTTTGTTCAGCTCTCCTAGGGTGGAGGCCACGTGCAGGTCCTTTAATGTCTTCTTTTCCGACGAAGGCATGATAGAAGACTTCAAGCAGTTGTTAAGTCAAGGGAAGGTTTGGAAAAAGCGAAATCTTTTAACTCTAATGGCAGCCATCTTTAAAAATGATGGAATGACGTCATTTTCTTATTGCTGAACAAAAACACTTTTGTGATTGGGCAGCACCGTAGCCAATCAAAACACGCGTTACATCAACTAAAGAAGTGTTCATGAAGGAAAGTTAGCGAAGGTTGAGTTTCGTACGTGCAGACGAAAGTGACTTTTAGGATTTCGGGATACTTTGTTTCTTTCTCATCGTTAAAAGATGTTAGAGGTCCTTATGTTAGACACAGGTATCCACTGTTTATCGATTACGGGATAGCATGTCAACATAGTAAATTAATTCTTCGTCGCAGAAGAAAAGTATAAGGACAGACATCAGCAGACATGTGATCGTGTTGTGCAATATCTCCTTTTTTGAGAGCAATGGGCTATTACACAAGTTTGCATATTTAGGTTATTGTGGTAACCATAGAACTGTTTGTGATTTGTATAAGAAATTTGGAATGCAAAACAAAACTGCCAGATTAGGCGAGTTTTTAATAACCCAATTTTTTACGAAAATACGAGCATGTGAATGAAGCTTAGCAAAATACTGCTGATCCTCACCAAGAGTGTAAAAAGTTATGTTATCCAAAACAAGTGATATAAGTAAACCCAAATCAAGAGTAACAAAAATTAACCCTGGATATAAGTGCTGACTAGCTTTCAAGGAGCTTGTCAATTATTGTGCTTGCTTACAAACAAACAAAAAGCGACGTTGTCTGAATGCCTGTAACCTGGCTTCGCTCATGGAAATACTTTTTTAGATGTGGTAAATATAAATTGTCTGTTGGGGACTTGAAAATTCTAAAGAAAGGTTTTGCTTGTCTTTCAGATCTTGCAATTCTCTACATGGTTGTTTTCAGAGGTTAGCATCAGTCTAAGAGTGACAGCTGTCAATTATGTCTGTCACTCACCTTGAATTATATGAGCAGATGGATAACCAGCCAACAGCATTCAGTAGATATAATGGTGGCGATGAAGATGATGATGATGAGGAGGATGGCATACCTAAAATCAGGATTGGTATCTGTGCTATGAGTAAAAAGGTGGGTGTGTCTCAGGAAGCCCTTTCTGTCTTGTTTGGACAGTGTCCAGTGGCCCATGGTGGTTCAGTTCTGTTGTTTCAGCTAATGAACAGAGATGAGCATAGGGGGAGGTGCCTGTGAGGTTGGTTGAGTCCCATAAATTATATGTAACCTGGCATTCACCTAGGCACTGCTGTCATTGTGCGACAACTGTAATCAGTACCGTGTTTTTAAATAAAGATGATGATGATGATGATGATGAACCTAACATATTTACAGTACACTTTCTGCAGAGACGGGGGGGGTGGTAGGGAAAAAACACTTTGCAAGTTCGAGCCATGAAAGGCAACAACATGCTAAGGTAATGAAGTGATGTCAACAGGTTTCTATCTAGGATTTATCGTTTGGGGGTGAAGTCCCTAGTGGCCGAAGGCCACGAGCTTCCTACGGGGGGCCGGGGGCATGCTCCCCCGGAAATGTTTGGAAATGAATATGCACAGAGATGCAATCTGGTGCATTTTGAGACCCAATTTTGAGAAATGTTACAGTGGTATTTTATTTTACTTTTTAGTCGTGATCACGTTCTGATATAGTTACTTATATACTGTAATGATAACAATATTTTTGGGGGGGGGAAGCCGGGCATTTTGGGGGCGAAGCTTCTACCCCTTAAATACCCTAGATAGAACCCTGGTCAAGGAAATAGCTGTAAAAAAAAAAAACATGAATTCCTGTGACATAATTAGGGCGCCCCTGCATATCTCCAACAATAAACTGCTGGCCAGCCATGTCTCAAATTTAACTAAGCCTAAATTTCATTTAGGCACATTATTTTAATGACCAGGAAATCTTGATTATATTCTGGCAGTAAAATCATCTAACAAATCATCTAAAGGTTATTATTGAGCACAAAACTTTACATTCAAGTGGGTGGAGTTACTGTTGTAAGTTTATGTGGGTACACTCATTTGCTCCTTGCCATCCAAATTTGCCTGTGAACTAATTATTTATTAAAAAATGTGCAGGCTATCCTAATCCAAGATGGTTCCCTGTTCTTGACATTTAACATTGCTGTATTTTACTCTTGATATTGAAAAGCTTTCCTCCTTTTGAAATGTTATGCTCCACTCATGTAAAGTTCTCAAATGTGAGTAGTCTGTTTCAAATCAAGGCTTTTCTCGTGATCCTGTTGGGCAGCACAGGCCCAGAAAGGTTTTTTTGCATTAGAATACTCTATCTCCCTGGCCCCAGTTGTTCAAAAGATGGATAACGCTATCCACTGGATAAATCACTACCCACTGGATAGCGCAATTGGTTTCCCTAACACTTCTCTGGTGGATAGTGATTTATCCGGTAGATATTGCTATCCAACTTTTGAACAACTGAGGCCTGGAGTTTGCAGAGGTTTGGTGAAACACAATTATTGGGAGTTGAAACAGCAATATGAAAGTCTCAATATGTTGTTCTCTCCACAGACCAACTCACAACCAATGCAAGAGATTCTTGGTCGCATGTCAGTGTTTGACTTTGTGGATATCTTTGTGTTCCCTGATGACACCATCCTGAATGTACCAGTAGAAAAATGGCCCATCTGTGACTGTCTCATCTCGTTTTACTCCAAAGGATTTCCTCTTGAGAAGGCTATTGACTATGCCAATTTAAGAAAACCTTTTAGTTTAAATGACCTGGAGATGCAATATGCCCTCATGGACAGGTTTGTTTACCTATGTTGTAGGTCATTTATGTTCAGGTTAAAAAGGCTCCAACCTAGGTTGATTTTCAATTTCCTTTGTCTCCTAGTATTTTTTAAAGAGGGTTTCCTATGCCCCATTTAAATATTTCTTTTGCATATGGGGTACTATACACACTGTAGGCAATACTTCTGAAAATTATTTGCCTGTCCAAAGAAATGCTGGTTCCAGTATGCCAGATTCTGGTATATCCTATGATTGGTATTTTTTGACAGCTGTTACAGAGTCAACGCTTGAACAGCCATCACCTCGATACACTCCTTGATACACCTGTAATTGCTCTGTCATGGTGGTCTTCTCCTGTATTTCTAAATCAGAGCCTGTTCTCTTGTAGACCAACGATGTACAGTCTTTTAGCTACTGCTGGTATAGAAACACCCAGACATGCAATCCTTCTTAGAGATGAAAACACTGGTGAACCTATCAACACAAGATTTGTTGAGACAGATGACTCAGTGCAAGTTGGTGATATGGTGTTCCATAAACCCTTTGTTGAGAAACCAGTAAATGCAGAAGATCACAATGTATATATTTATTTCCCTTCATCAGCTGGTGGAGGAAGCCAACGATTGTTCCGCAAAGTGGGAAACAGAAGCAGTGTGTACTCAGCAGAGAGTTCTGTGCGTAAAGAAGGCTCGTACATTTATGAAGACTTTGTTGTCACTGATGGAACAGATGTCAAGGTATGATGGAAATATTGTGGGTAACTAAGGTTTAGGTTTTTCTTGTGTCACAGATGTATTTTACCAGAGTATTTACAGGGTTAGCCAAAAAACAAAAATGTTTAACCTCAAGACCTTAAAATTCTTTCAGAGTAGCAAGTGGCTCAAACGACAATAAAATGTTTATCCAGAAAAGGAGGAGCACAAAATACAGTGGAACCTCAATGTATTGAACCTCTATATAACAAAGTCCTCAGTGTAACAAATGATTGTCTTTACCCCCAGTAGTAGTGCAATATATGGAAAAGTATGTAGATATAATGAAGCCTTGCTATAGCGAACAAATTTTGCCAGTTCCTTGGCACTTCTTTGTATCGAGGTTCCACTGTAAAAAGAAAAAAAAAATAAAAAGGAGTATAATGCACTGTAATTGGTTTGATTTTGCATGGCTTGGTACCCTTGATGAATGAGATTCTTGATGCTGAAAGTTCTTGAATAGTTCTTTAAGGTGATTCCATAGTAAAAGAACCTAACATAGATTGTAGCTAAAACTTGGTGCACTAATGTAACAAGTCAAGAAGATGATAAAAAAGTAATAAAAAGTGGGGGTCACCGTGCTCGTTTTGATGTCACAATGCTGACAAATACGGCTATTTAGGACCCTTTTACAAAAACCGCAGGCAGCCCAAAACTAGACAAAAAGGAGAGATTTTTTCGATGATGCACGTGGCATCACACAGAATTTGACTTTAATGTATTGTTTATCCACTTACGTACCAGAAAAATGTCTTTTAATGCCCTTGCTTTTACTTTACGCTCCAAAGTAGAATTAAATTTGACGCGGGCTTTTTGACCAGTGATGGCTCAATCCGTACAATTTAGTAAAATTCCCAAAAAACTGAACATAGATTTGTGCCAATTTTTTTCTCATCGAAAGGAAGCACTGTCCTTATTAAAATCATGAAATAAAAAATGGGGGTCACCGTACTCGTTTTTGCGGTAGAGCTGCAGAGAGTGCGCACCAAACGCATTTTCTCCAATTTATGAGAGAGGACTGGGGCGAGTTTCAAAAATAGAATGTATATGAAAGGGGGAAGAAAGTATTAAAAAATCCGTTTTTACAGAATTTACATCAAGATATCACATTTAGGACACAATGTGATAAAGAAATTAAAGTGTTTAAATGAAAATCAAAGTGAGTACGCACAAGTTAAACATCCACTGTCGAGGTTCTCCGAGAGGAGGTCGAACTCAGCAACACGCGTACTGCTTACGTTATGCACATTCCCAACACATCGAGTCTCACCTCGGCAAGAAACAACAGCAAGCAAAAATTCCAATAGCGTTTCTCTTCAGGCAACTTCATTTTAATAATGTTACTTCACATGCTCTTTTTTACGGCGGCCATCTTGTTATGCGCAGTAAGAGATGCACAGTGCAAAACTAGGGAATCACCTTAATACTCTTTTAGGAACTAACAACCTGACAAATGTATAGGTGGATGCAATGGGCATGCTTTCAATTCAATGAGTCTTAACAGGTTACCTCAGGAAATGTAAAACAGCAAATGAGAAAATAATCTTCCAATTTTGGGATTTTCATGTACTGTATTTGTTTTTTATATCAGCTTTCAAAAATAATACTTGGGTGAAAAATGGAGGCATTTCAGGGTATACCTGACTGTGAGGATTTGTCTGAGCAGAAATCTGCATCAGAGACATGCACATTTGGTATCTGTGCATGTGATCTTCAAAATCCCGCTTGAGTTTTGAATGTCTGATGAATTCTTTATAGGTGTACACAGTAGGGCCTGAGTATGCCCATGCAGAAGCTCGCAAGTCTCCATCACTTGATGGAAAAGTTGAAAGAGATTCCCAAGGGAAGGAGATTCGATATCCAGTCATTCTCAATCAGTATGAGAAAATTCTAGCCAACAAAGTCTGCAACTTATTCAAGGTAAGGGTTTCTACATGTATTTTAAAGCACAGGGATTAAATTTGTTGAGGAGTCTTTCAGATCGAAAATTGAATAGGAAAAACAAGGTCCACTGAATTATTTTGATTGTCCTTTAGACTTTGTAATTATATATTGTGGATGGAAGACTAAGATAAGGTTAGTGAGACTGTCAAAAACACATTTTGGTGATCGGGATTTATATTAGAGATTGTCAAGTGATCTGCATCGTAGAGGGGTCTACCTGCTTGTGGATCCTACCTCTGTACATGTACTCTAAGGCAAAGTTCAGACGTCTATCTTTTATGAGTCCAACCTAAAACATTGAATTACATACTGGTATATGAAAAGTTCAGCATCTGAATCAGTTAGGAATGCCTGTTTCAATTTGGAATGGCTCAGTCTTTCTTCCCACCTAGCCCAGATCTACTTTGGAATGGCTTTGATTCAGACACTGAATTTTCATGTACCGAAACTAATGCATAAATAATATTTACAATGCATTTTCTAGGCATTTTACCTGAAATGAGCATTTTCCTCCATTTGAATTTAGTTCAGCTAGAACTAAGATCGGCGTCTGAATCAGTTCTGCTTGTTGAAATAATTTGGGTTGGCCTTTATTTGAATTAGGTTCAGCTTTTGAAAAGTTTGGCATCTGAACTGGGCCTTAGCTATAGCCTGTGTAGATGGTGTTTTTTTTGCTGTGTTTTTTTTCTTTTGTGGTTTGCAAAGTAAGAGTTACAGCCGTTTGAAAGCTGAAGTGAGGTCCAAACAGAAAATAATGGGGGAGAGGGTGAGGGGTGCCCCCTCTTCAACGCTTTTTTCTGTTTTCGGTTAAGCTTTCACGCTACTGAATCTCTTACTTTACAAACCACAAAAAAAAAATACCCCCCCCCCCCCCCCAAAAAAAAAGTTCTCGCCAGTTTTATTACAGTCAAAACAGGTCAAGCGTACCCCCCAAGATTCTATTAATGAATTGATTATTTGAAAAATGAATCCATTAGTCGTTCCCGTAACTAGTGTTAAATTCAAATCGGAATTACCGCATGCAAAATGAGCAGTGAATAATTTACGAGAACTTGTCTGTATTTGGTCAGATTGAAAATCTTTGAATGAATTAAAATTCTTAGAAGACATTTACATCAAATTCAGGGAAACTAAGCTGGTAGAAATTTCGTAAGTGAATAGCGTGTGAATTCACGGCTCGTTACACATGCAAGAATGTAGAGATGAATCTGAAATCTACAACTGCCAGTGGATTCAACTTTCGAATAATAAATTCATTGATGTAATTTGGGGGGGTATGCTTGACCTTGTTTGACTGTAAAAACACAGTGCATGCAAAACTTAAATGTCGTTTATACTGTCAGTGTATGATTCTATCATATTTTTTGTTCGCCTTGATGCTTTTCTATGTGGCAGGTGCTAAAAAACATATAACAAATTTTGACAGTCCTTGAAATTTATGGCATGATTTGAAAATGGGCATATTTTGGGAAAAAATGACCCGGTCATCCCCATGAATAATGAAACATCCCTTACACAGCTCTGTCCTTCGTTGCTCTAATGTAAGAAGGCCTGAACATGACAGGGCATCTGAGTAGTGCAATCCGTAATCAAAAATATTTTAGAGCACGTTTCTGTATCTGTTCAAAAGTTAAGCTGAGGTATTAAAAAAAGCCATAGAGTAAGACAGACTGGCTGCAAGCTACATAGAACTGAACCAGTTCTTCAGGTGGTAATTTTGCATGCTTTAGTTGTATTAAAAATACAAGATTTTTTTGTCATTTCTGTTATATGAGAATTCCACTTTTAAGGTCTTCTTGAATATGGGTTTAGCTTCTCCAAATAAAATTATCCCTGATTCTTGAATAAATTCAGTTTAAACTTCCGAAATTCCCTCCTTGGAGAGTAAATTAAGTTATTTGTATATTTGTATTTGATAATTAGGATGTGGTTTTTAAACCTCTGTTAACAGTTCAAAACAAATTAAATTTATTCAGTTTAAAATTTGTTAACTGAGGGTGATTCTCAATAATATTTCTTTTGTCTCCTAGCCATGATAATTAGAGTTGAGACAAGGGAAAATGCATGACTTATTTCATGTTTTAAGAAATAATAGTTTGAACCAATATTTATTCGACTTTGACTGTACAACAGGCAAGAAGTGTTACTAAGTATTATAATCGGAGTTGTTTACAAAGACTAGTTTTATGGATTTAATCTAACAATGTGCCCATAGCTATCAGTTTGTGGGGGATTTGTACATGTCATTGTTTAGAAATGGATAGTCCAGAATGTACATTGTACAATGTACAATGATCATACTCAAACTACTTATGATAAGACTCTTTTTGTTTTTTTCCTTCTTTGTTAACTTTCCTCTGACTTCATGCTTTTTTCAGCAAACTGTCTGTGGTTGTGACTTGCTGCGCACCCATGGAAAGTCTTACGTGTGTGACGTCAATGGCTTCAGTTTTGTCAAAACTTCCAAGAAGTATTATGATGATGCTGCACAAGTGTTGATTGGTCTCATTGTGCAAGAACTAGCACCTCAGTTATACAGGCCATACCATTTGGATGTACCTGAGGAGATCCCTGCAGTTGAAGCATTGAATGGTACCATGCTAGAACTGAGATGTGTTGTAGGTATTATCAGACATGGTGACAGAACCCCTAAACAGAAAATGAAGATGGAAGTTAGGCATCCAAGGTAAGATGTTGTAATTTATTACAATTTGCAAGGCGGCTGCCTAACAAAATTATATGGGAGCTCTTCAGGCTCCTAAAATAAAAAGTTAGGAGCCCGAGCCACATTTCTAGGAGCCCAATTAAAAAAATCAGTACTTTAATTAAATGTGTCAAACTTCTAGCACACAAAAATTGGTGCACTAATCAGTTGATTGATAAGCTTCAAATTTATCATTTATCCAACTCTAGCTAACATTCAAGGGCCAATCTCCTTTTTTCTTTACTAGAGGTTTTTTTACTTCATTGTATTTCAAGAACAGAACCCTGTATCTAAACCTAGTTTTAATTAGTTCACCAGAATGACCCTATCGATAATCAGGGCTCGAAATTAAAAAAATCCTCAGGTCGCCTTTTGGCGACCAACTGGAGAAAAATAGTCGCCAGATGCAAATTTTTAGTCGCCAGTTTGTAAATGATGCAGCTCATAGTCAGCCGGGGCTTCTGATATTTCGCGCGGTCGCAGAGCCGCGAAATTCACAAAAACACGCAAAATAATGCGAAATTCGGTAGAAATCTTATCAAATACATGTCTGTACAACATATTTGAAACTTTTCTTGGCTATTGGGGCTATTTACTTGCCATAAACTTGTAAATTTATCTTGAAACTTGGTCACTGAAAAGTACAAACAACATCCCGAAACTACCGGACGTAAATTATGTTGCGAAAAACTGGGCACTAGCCATGATGTTAAAGGCTTTGCCATTGGCTCAGTTCTAGAGTTTCTGGAGTGTATTGTTGTTGAAAGAGCAAATGATGACCTCTGTTAGAAAAACATCAAAAACACTGGTCTGGTCAGCGCAAAACGGATCGATCTCTAACCACAAAATCGTTATTTTTTTACCGATTGATTTGCGGCTAAGTTTGCCCCCAAAATTCCTGCGAAATCGGTCAATTTTTCCACAAATTTGCCCCTAAAAATCCCGCGATTTTTGACTTTTTTTCCGCGACCTACCAGAAGCCCTACATAGTATATGGTGCGATCCATCAGACTTGAAAATATCGTGGATAGGATTCGGTATAAATTTGTAGGTAAACTGGCTTTGTTTATGCAATTTGGCACATTTGTTATGATGAAAGCAAAGCAGGATAGGATGAAATGTTTGTTTCAACTTTACTGTTTTAATTTAAATCTAAATCATAGAGAAATCTGATCGCCACTTTGGCGACTAAACTAGAATTTTTAGTCGCCAAGGAGAAAATGTTAGTCGCATTGGCGACTGTATCAGTCGCAATTTCGAGCCCTGATAATGTGTGTTTCTTAAGTTGACAGTCTCAACCAGATCCTCGAAACTTGATTCATCGCTTTTCGAAACCTTTAAAAAAGTCTCCTTTTGACCCGCCACACAATGCTAAGGAACGTTGCGTGAGGAGACAAAACTCAAAGAGTACTCGAGACACGAACAAATCGAGTTTCAAAACACAAAAACCGAGTTTGAGTTTCAAGAAACCAGCATTTTTTTGTATTCATCACTCGAAAGAATTTAGAGAAACGATTTATTTCTCAAGAAACGTAACAATAACCAGTCACACGTACAATGAAAGCACTGACCAACAGCACTTGCGTGTACAATTTAAAGCTAATTTAAGAGAAGTTCAGTTTAAGTTTTTAGGTGATAAGAAAGATTTTTTTTTATCTTGAATCAGTATTTTTGTATCAAGTCTATCTTTTGAACTATCAAAACTGTTTTTATATTTCTGAAGGTTTGTATTTAAGTCCATCACGCACGACAGCATAAATTAAAAAGAGGTTGAAATATGATCTTGAATTTCCGCCGCGAATCATTTTCAAAAACTGGAATGTTTTTGTGAGCCGTTCAAAAGTTACCAAAAAATAGGGTGGCATAGATATTGCTGAATAAATGATAAAAGAAACCTTGGATCTTGTACCGTTTGAGCTCATAGCAAGATAGAAAATGCTACAAACTTGCAAAAGTAAAGTTAGCATACCGTATAGGTATGTCACATGTAATTTGAAACCTCAGATTGCTTTTCCATGGATCGCGACTTTTTATGCAGTATAGCTTAGTGTTGTGGGTCGTGGGTAGTGGGGAGAGGTCATGGGTCTTGGGTGTGGGTAAATGTTGTTGTTAAAACAGGCCCTGCCAGGGTCAATTCCAACAAGCGACATGGCCCAAAAAGTAGCAACAGCGCGTAAAATGAAATCGCGACAAGAGACAACCTCTCTCGGCCAAATTGCGACAGTGACGGCAAAGCCGACAATAAGCGACAAACATTTATAAACACCGACACCAGACGTTTTAAAATTCAGACGGGCGACATGGGACCTCCCCCCTGGCAGGGCCTCTTAAAAAATAGTTTCCAAAAAAAAAAAAAAAGATTAAAAAATTGAATAGCAAAAAATTGTAAAATTCATGAAACGAAAGTCCCCACTTATATACCAGGAGTCTTATTCCCCTTCCCTGCAGTGAGCAAAGCAAATAAGCGAACCCTTTAGTGCAAACAGACACTAAAAAGGCATTTAGGCAAAAAATAAAGAAACTCTGCACCCTGGGAGGGGGGTACTCCCATACATTACCTATACAGTACGATATAAGGTATGTGCCGCCCAACGGGGTCGTGATTTTGAAGCTCCTGATTTAGAACGGGGTATCCATTTCAGAGGCATTTTCTAGAACGGGGTATAAAAAATTGTGGGTCACGGCTTTATCTTCTGCTTAAAATTGTTGCTGATTATGAAGAAGCATTTATTTGATGTATAAGTCGAAGAAATAAAGAAATATCTTTTTAAAAAAACGGGGCTATTTCAATTTACAAACTTTCTAGAATGGGGTATCAGTTTTAGGGCGAATTCTAGAACGGGGTGTAAAAAAGTGGCCCATTTCTAGAACGGGGTATCAATTTTAGAACGGGGTGCCAATTTGGAGTCCCGGGCGGCACATACCCACCCAAAAAATACCCAAGTGCCCCCCCCCCCGGGCTCTGCACACTATGTCAGCCTGAAGCAGGCTAAAGAAAAAATGGAGACTGACCTGCTTTTCCTTAAAGATGTCAACATTCGTGACTGAAACGCCCTTTCAGTTAAACAGGGCTTCTGATATTTCGCGGAAAAAAACGCAAAATTTCGCGGGATTTTCAGGGGCAAATTCGCGGAAAAATCGGCCGATTTTCGCGGGAAAAAAGTCAAAATTCACTCAAAAATCGGCCGATTTCGCGGGAGAAAAGTCAAAATTTGCAGAAAAATCGGCCAATTTCGCAGGATTTTAGAGGAAAAAAGTCAAATTTTGAAGGATTTTCGGGGCAAATTCTTAGAAAAATCGGCCGATTTCACGGGAAATTTTTGGGGAAAACTTCTCCAAGAAACAATCAGTAAAAAACAGCCGATTTCGCTGGATTTTTTTGGCAATTTTCGTTAAAATCGATCAATTTTGCGTTGATATCACCAGCACTGTTTAACGTCTTTTGAACAGGGATAATCATTTGCTCTTTCAACAACAGTTCACTCGAGAAATGAGCAAATGCTAAAGCTGTTAACATTATGGTTAGTACCCAGTTTTTCGCAATGTTCACCTAAGAACGCCTGGTAGTTTTGAGACGTTGTTTACTCGTTGCAGTAACGAAGTTTCAAGATAAATTTGGACATTTGGGGTGAATAGAACAGGTCTAATAGCCAAGATAAGTATTAAATATGTTTTGCCGACATGTATTTGGAAATATTTCTGGCGGATTTCGCGGTATTTTGTGTTTTTTTGGGAATTTCGCGGGATTTCGCGGAAATACCTGAATTTCGCGGGTCCGCGACCGCGCGAAATATCAGAAGCCCTGGTTAAAGGAATGATATTCAGAATCGTTACAGCAAAGATTTTGTACACAAAACAAAACAAAAAAGAATTGAGAAAATTATATTTCCGTATGGCAATAGAATTTACATACAATCTTGCCTTAACTTGAAAGGTTGATTATGAAAGTGGTTCCTTGGCTCCTAAGCTAGAGACCTAAAACTTCTTTAAGGAAGACTTTTATCCAAAAATATGAAATAGCTCAAAATTATCCTTTTTCTCCCTCACTTCCCCTCTCCTTTCCCCAGTGATCACGTTCCATCTTGTTAAAAAATCCCTGCTGATCATTGGAATTGTACAATGTAGATCGCGAGTCAGAGCTGTCCCATACTTTCTGCAAATTGTTTGTTCTGTTTCTATCTGTTTCTTCATTTCGCGGTGATTGCTCAGGTATAGATAAATCTTCAGCCGTAACATGTCTTTTATGCAGTGATGTTGTGAAAGGGGACTCAAGTCCCATGTGGCTATTAAACTCAAGGCTAAGGCTTCATTGTTTGCTTTGTGTATGCAGAGATTTTCGTTTCATGAATTTTACAATTTTTTCTATTTAATTTGTTAATATATTTTTTTGTTTATTCTCTTATCTTTTTATACTTTTTTTATGCATGTACCTATGACATTTACCCAAGGCGATTTTTATTTCATAAAATTAATATTTTAGAACTTTTTTCTATTTTTTTTTGGTTATTTATTTTCTATGCTTTTTTTTACCCATGACATTTACCCATGACCCATGACCTCTACCCACTAACCAAGACCCACAACATTTAGCTACACTCCTTTTAATCAGTTTTTACTTCATGCAATAGCGACCTAATGTTCTATTAAACGCTGAAGGGAAAGTCATGATTTTAATATTGAAAGGATTTCAAAGACTACTAAAAATTTATTAATTCGCCCCATTTTCGGATGAGAAACTTCAATTGCACTGCAGTGGAAGTCACCATAGTGAATTTCAAGGCAAGTACTTGTTTGTTTACCTTTTATCAGTAGAAATATTTTTTTGCCCACAGCCGACAACCAAACATTTTCTGTTTTCGTTTCAAAAGTGTAGAAAGAGCAGGGAATTTTGTTGTTTGTTTACCGGAAGTTAGCCTAAGAATCATAATAATCCTGAGGGTAAATCGTAGGTGCCTCTGGCGACTGGGTGCCCGTCAGGTAGTAGCCTTGATTGGTGTCCCTTTGCCCACAAGGTGATGCCAAATTTGCTGCCTTACCTCAATCAAGGCTGATGAAAGAGCCATTCAGGCTGGTGTGTGTGTTTTTTTACAACTTGTCCTGTGGGTGCCCCACTCTTGTACACTTGGGTAACATCTTGCTCTTTGGACTAGCTAAGTTACTTTTATTGAAAAAAGGAGTGACAATAATTATTATGTCCAGATAGGATTCCAATTCAACAGGCTCAGTGTGAATACCTACACTGTATTGAAATGCTTAGGAAACCCCATATTTTTTCTTCTCATTGACTCTGCTTTGAAGTAACAAGAACTTGCTTACAGCGGCATTCAGTCTCGATTGCTTGGAGATTATATCGAGAAATGAGGAGGTGATTAATTCTACACAAAACAGGATTTACTTGTGAAAGGTTTTTAACTTCCTACTTTATCAACATGGATACTTTTCACTTGTTTCTGAACTGATTTAGTATGCGTGTTAGTGACGACCAGAAGTACCTCTGCGGTCACAGGCTATACATGCGTATAAATACACCAAAATTCAAGGACCTTGATGCCAGAGAAATTACATCATTGCCAGAGATAAAAAAAGTGATTTACGTGACACGTCATTTCAATCATCGTGGAAAATAAACTGCATTCTCATCACAAGACCCATGAAAGTTTACAACACCCGACCACCGCAGTTTTGCTAATTAAGATTCTTTTTTTTTTCAACCACTCAGTTTGTGCACCGACACGTTTCGGAAAAGCTCTAAATTTAATCTTTCCTAAACATCTGTGACTTTGATCACGCAACGATTCTTAGTCCCAGTTTCCGCTAGGAACATCTGGCACAATGACCCCCTATTTGTGTATAAAATACGAACAAAACGAAAATGCATCGCAGATTATGAGTCGATCTTGCTGCTTACGCAAGCGAGACTTATTGGTTTCATACTACAATGATTAATTAATTACAGTTTCCTTTCATCTTATTCTAAGAACCTAGAAGCTTTTCCCACCAAGAGAAATGAAGCCTACAAAATGCCCAGCAAAATAAAAAAAAAATGAGGCAAGAAAAGCGAAAAAAGAGGGGAGGAGAGAAAGCTACATGTAAAAGTAAAAGTCAAGACTGCTGTGTCCCTTTTAAATCTCGAAGTTTTGCTTTCTGTGCATGCCCAAACTTTGTAAGCTAATATTTTCCATCTGGATCAGAAAGCCATGAAGTGTACAACCTGTAAATGGCTTTATGGGAAGTTTTAGTTCTTTATAACATGGCAGTGACCAGAAAACCACTTGACTAGCTTCAAAACTGTTTTTTTGGCAAAATTTCCAGGGGCGAATGGGTTAGAGGTGTTTTATGTATTTTGTATTATGTGAACAATATGAGATGCAAATACGCAATTCAACCTTTGGGCTGCAAAAGCATTTCTTTCATAAACTATTTATCTACATGTATCTATCTGTCTAGCCTACTCAGAGGAGGTTAATTTCCACAGCTGCTGTTTAATAATAATAGCGCTGCAGGCCCAGATTCTTAAAGCCTTCACTGAATTGTATTTCAATGTCAGTAACTATTAATCAACAGGTTTATAGAACTGTTTAAGAAGTACAATGGTTTTGATGAGCACAAGCTTAAACTGAAGAGGCCAATGCAGCTACAGGAGGTGTTAGACATTGCCAGAGATTTGTTATCTGATTCCAAGGAGGGAAGACCAGTGTTTGAGAATCTAAGCAAACTTCATCAGCTTAAAAGTGTCTTAGAAATGTAAGTTCTTCAAACTGGACTGATTTTTGGTGGTTCCATCGTACTGTACACTACTGTCAAAGTTTGGAAGTGTGTTATGTAATAGGTATTCTTTTGCCTCTTATTTTTTTGTCACGAAAAGCAAATTTTGACGGTCCATACATGTAATTCGTGGAAAACTTTGAGTATTATCCGGAACCACATCCATGTTATAGTTTGGGGACTACATTTTGTAGGTCAATTTTTGTTCAAGGGGTGGGGAAGGGGGAGTGCTTGATATTGGTGGAGGGAGTACTGTAAAAGAGACAGTCATCAGATTTTAGTTCTTCTGAGGTTACAATGACTGACAGTGTCGGAACTCAACCCACCCCCTCCCCCTCCCAGAAAACATTATTTTTAATGGTTGAATTAATTATTTTTCAGCTTTAGAATAAGTTATTACTAAAGTTGTTAGTAATGCATTACACTTGCAGTTAGAAGGCTTATAGGGTGATAAATTATCAAAACGTGTCATAAATGTCTTTAAGACACAGATGCTTTGGGTGTATAACCCTTCTTCCGTGTTTAGAAAACTATTGCACTATGCAACTGTCATTAAACAGAAATAAAATTGAAGCATGTTCATGTGCAAAACGTAGTGTGCAAGATGGCAAAGAAAGCTGGAATTGATATCAAGTCCTTTTAGCTGAATGGTTTCTAGCTGGAAATTATGTTCATTTCATGCTGCTTCTGTCGTACATGTATTATATTGGGTCCACTGCACAGAGCCAGACCACACACCTGGACATAGAAATACTGTGGCCCATGGAGTTGTAATGCTGGGCCACGGGAGACCCAGGAGTGTTGTTACGTATACTTCAGGTTTCATCCATGATGAAATTCATATGCCTTAATTTCACCATTGCCTGTTGCAAGGAATTCTCAACATATAGTTTTGAAGGTACAATCTTGAATTCATTTTACTTTCCACCCATTTGTGATGGGTTTTTCCTCCTCTTCTCTCCCTTTTCCCAAGGTATGGTTATTTCTCTGGAATAAACAGAAAGATCCAATTCAAGTACCTTGGAAAACCACGAGATGGAAGTGAGAGCAGCGAGAGCAGCGCGGAAAATCGACAGGGAGATTCAGGATCCGATGAGAGGAGTTCTAAGAAGAAACAAGGGAAGGAATCCAAAGAATCTAAAAACAAACAAGAAGGGAAGACTGAAAAGGAAGTGAAGAGGAAAGAAAGCAAGGAATTTAGTAAAACTCAAGATTTAAAGGAGGCTGATACTGCTACTGCTGATGAGAAGCTGAAAGTGCCTGTCGATGAAGATCATTCTCTGCTCTTGATTTTAAAATGGGGTGGTGAACTTACTACAATGGGAAAGCAACAGGCTCTAGAGCTAGGCCGTGCATTCAGGTAACCATGAAAATAATTAAGATTGTTCCTCCATCACTCCTTATGAGGCAGAAAACTGTCCTGTCCAATCATCCAGGACGAGCAGATTTTTTTTGCTGGGCCATCAACTTTTCATACTCTCTTGGCCAAGTAATCATATAATCAGAAAGTGAAACAAGCAGGCAAGGTAACCCTTGGCAAACAATAAGTTAAAGCTTTTATGAAGGATGGCTGAAATTCAAGATCGTTTCAAGTCCTGCTTATGCTGCATTCTGCCTCTGATCTGATCCCTTTGTCTGACTTCTCTACTAATAAAATTGGTACAATGTGCATGTGCACAAGCAACAACAAGGACACAACTATGTGCATCATCTATGAAAGGAGTAAAATCTTTTACAAATGTTTTGTTGTAGGAGCATATATCCTGGTGGCCATGGAGAATACTCTAGATTATCTGGTTGTGGTCTGCTACGACTTCATAGTACATACAGACATGACTTGAAGATTTATGCATCAGATGAGGGCCGGGTTCAAATGACAGCTGCAGCATTTGCTAAGGTAAGCAAGCACTGAGATAGAAGCGATGCCTACAGCTGTACCTTGGGAATTTTATAACAGTAGGTTATAGATCTTTCCAGGTTTTTTTAACTTTCAATAAAAGAGCAGTAAGTGAATATCATATCACATCATTGACACTGCTAGAGAGAGCGCCTTAAAAATCACAAGGTAACTTAAGATGATAAGTCCATTTAGAGAGCAAAGATTTTGTAGGCGCTTGTAAAATTTCACAACTTTGCAGAGCTATTTAAGTAAATAATAAATAATAATAATAATGATTTGGAGGTAGCACATCCAGCAAGTTGTTTTTCGTCTACCTGATTCCTGCTTGAATTTGAATTTGGAAATGTTGGTTTTTGAGGAGAGAGGAAAACCGGAGAACCTGGAGAAAAACCTCTCAGAGCAAGGGAGATAACCGACAACAAACATAACCCACATATCATTATCAAATGGCGTCAATGCTGGGATTTGAACCTGGGCCTCATTGGTGGGAGGTGAGCAGTCTCACCACTGCAGCATCCCTATGCTCTGCTATATCTTTGTTAGTTTTCAACATAGGAGAGGAGACTGGTCGTAAAAGCCAACAAAGTTGAAAACAACGGTGTTGTAGTTTATGTTGAAAGCTCCCTGACAGTGCACACTCCTTTGTTTTTTGTTCACAAATTGTGAATGAATAAATTAATGCGATGTTTCTGTTGGTCAGTAAGTTCAAAATGGTAGGAATGCTATTGAACTTTGTGCACGGTCAGGTCCAAAAAAGCTAAGAAAACATATAACAAAAGAGTTTAACGGGTTTCATAACCATTCCACTTAAACGACTGTTTTCAACAGGTCATTTTCAAACTTGGCAACTTTACTGATTTTATGGATTTTGATGGACTTTTGCTAACATGTCCCGGTCAAAAGTTGAAAAAACCATGAAAGGATCTATTGCCATGATTGTAATTGATTAATGATAAAACCTGTTTTGTACATTATTACCCGCTAGGGATTTCTTGCCCTTGAAGGTGAGTTGACGCCCATCCTTGTTCATTTGGTGCGTAGTGATAAGAACACAACAGAGATGCTGGATACCTCTAGTGAAGCCGCAAAAATCCTTGGGAAGTAAGTTTGACTACACTGCGGTATCCAAAGATATCGCCGTAAATGTTTATGGGGTGCTGACATAAACTTTTTTTCTGACAAAAACCTTTCTTACAAGACAGATGAGGATTGTTGGTGTGCTGTACACTTACAGCTGTAGCTGCACTGAAAGTCTAATGCAACTTCCCTTTAGGGGTTCTTGTAATTATAACAGGGAGTTTTTAACTTTTAAAAGAAACCACGATGACAACATTGGCAAAAATGCCACTTACATGTAAAAGGTAGATCTGTGTTCTTTCAACCTTCATCACAATTATTCCAACTCATTTACTTTGTCAAATGCAGCAAATTTCCTAGAGTTGAATTCTTAGAAAAACAAATATCCACAACACATTTCACCATCTTCGTGACTAAATTCTTGCTTTGGAGGAAAAGTACATCAATAATTGACATCTTATGCATGCAATAAAAAAAGGAAAAGGTGCAGACGATCGAGCTAAAGGCCGAATAGGACAGAGCTTATCCCAGTTTCCTTAGCATGGAGCATGCCTAGGAGTAGTACTAATCTCCTCTGGGTAGGATGCTAGTCCATCGCTGGGCTAACCCATTTATACAGGTACCCATTTATACACCTGGGCGAAGAGAGACAAAGTGTAGTAAAGTTCCTTGACTATGGAAATAATGCCACGGGGCAAGGTTTGAACCCCAGACCTCCAGATCCAGAGTTCGAGTCGTTAAGCGCTCGGCCACACACACCTCAGCTATGCATGCAATGCAAGAACTTATTTAATAGCTAACAGGACACCAACATTGTAAGCTTCTCATTTGGGTGCGATCAAAGGCCTGAGCTTTTACTTCTTTTAATTCAGTTTATTTACTCATTTTTTTGTTGATCTATTAGAGTAAAACATAGACTTCATGAAATGCTTCGTTCAAGTGAGGATTTCAAAGATGAAGATTTTGCAAAGGTTTGTCTATTCATGTATTTTCTTCAAAACTAACCCTCTCTTAAATGAAGTTGCCAGATTAGTAATCAAATCAATCAATCAATTACACATTTCGTATCTCTTTTGCTTTAAATAAAATTGATGTAAGAGTTATAGTCATCTCACCGGGAACTAAGACTCTAGAAAGCGACTGTTCAGTGACAAAAAATGATAATACAACATGCGCAACGGGCATTAAGTTTACAAGCCAAAACGTTGAATTAAAGCTCTACTAATATTCAAATGCTTATCTGGCTGAAAATGCCGGATAGTCCCCTGATTCTTGGCTTCCTCTTTTATTCTTTCTTTCTTTGTTTCCTTTTTTTGTGTGTGTTCTCGCCATTAACAGCTTGCACCAACCAAGTCCCATTCTGTAATTAATGCAATGAAGAATGTCAAAAATCCACATTCAATGTGTGCGAAGCTTTACAGCCTTGTTCAGGATCTTACAGGACAACTGAAGGATTTGATTGGTCAGAAGGTTTATGATCCAAGAGGTGAGTGAGTCTTGGCAATTGTGTATTCATACGGACAGAAACAGCTGTAATGACCAAAAAAAGAACTATTCCTTGTCAAGATGTGTGGTACCCTGGGTTCCAGAGGATATTTTTTTCTTATGGACACTGATGGTTCGCGGCTAAGCCGCGTTAACGAGGCGCAAAGCGCCGAGGAGAAAAAAATACCGATAAGAAAAAAAATCCTCTGGAACCCAGGGTAGATGTGTGGTAGGTCAAAGATACTTTTAATTAGCGTAGGTAAATTATAGCTAGCATCGTTTTTCTCATAAGAGATAACGTAGTTGGATTCTGGAGCCAATATTGTACACAGAACCGAATGTTTTGGAACCAAAAAGCAAATTACCCCAAGTTTTACCCAAGATTAAATTTCATTTTTAAGAGTAGAGCAATTCCTTGACATCTTAAGATGTTTTTTCATCACATTGTGCGCCCCAATATCAACATATCAACACCTTCTTTACCAACAGAAAATACTAGTTTAAATGAAGATATGATCATCGCAGTCGAGTAATTGCAATTACCATTACGACGATCATATCTTTATTTAAATTGTATTTCCGCAGTTCACATCATCTTCATTCTAAGAAAATACTAGGTTAACTTAATATTGCTGTTCGTAACCTGCTTCTTGTGTTACAAAATTGATGGTCTTTTATGGGGAGAACTTGGATTTTTGAAACCACCAATGTCTATTTTGCAGATCCATTTCTATATCATGAAGAAACACTTGAGTTGATGATGCACAGATGGACAAAGTTAGAAAAGGTAATACAATGAGTCAAGTGATAATGTCACAATAACAATAACAATTAATGAATGAGGCTGAGTATCTTATGAAGAACGGCCGAGGCAGGTAACACCCTCCGAGATCTCCATAATTCTTCATATGAAACGAAAGCCGAATTCAATAATTGTTTTATTATTCATTCAAAATAATTCCTAGTTTAAAAACATGGCTAAAACATGCTTACCTCCATCGATCCATCGATGTTAAGTTCATATTCGATAGTGCACGTTTAGGGTTGTTCAGCTCCGCAAATATTCTCCAAGTAGGAGATGTCGCCTTCGAGTTGTCCTCTTGCTGTACTTGCCATGTTTTTGGCCATTTTTTCGCCTAGTTCTTACTCTTGAAACGAGTCAAATGTCCGCCATTTTTGAAGTTCACAAACAAAACAACTCAACCTCGTCCCCAGGTCTTCTCGGTTAGCGGTGCATGAACCTGCAAGAACGCTGCATTTTTGACGTCATTTCCTCGCTAAACACAAAATTCTTCCAAATTTGGTCATCAGTAACTGGTTATGGTGAATTAAACGTGTGCTTTTAGCCAATCAGAATCGGGGAAATATTTTGAATAAATATTAATAATAACAATTAAATGATGCCATATACAACCCATCTTTCTTTTTTTCAATTATTCCCTGTTTATACACTCATTATTTTAACAGGATTTCAAGCTAAAGAATGGACAGTTTGACATAAGTCTCATCCCAGATATATATGACTGTATAAAGTATGATGTGCAGCATAATGGGTGAGTAATGTAGTAGACTAAAGATGTGATCATTCAATTCCCACTTGCCTGCCTCTCATTTAAGGGGTCAATTTGTGTTCGCGTCAATCACTCTTAACTGACTAGCACTTTTATTAAGTCATTTTCTGCTGCTATTAAAGATATTGCGCGTCCCTCTAGGAAAAATAAATGGTTGTGTATTCCTCGTAAAAGGGAGCGTAAGCACCAACGACGCGACGGCTACGAAAACGTCACGTAAAACGTGAATTCGCACTGCCTCACACTTTATCGCGCTTTTACCATCTCGTTTACTTCGTCAAATGCTGGCAGATTTTTTTGGAGTTGAATTCTAAAGGACTGTATCAAAGTTCAGGAAAAGAAAAAGAAAGCTGTTGTCTTGTGTTCCCGTGAAATTACACACTTTCACGTTGTAGTCGTGCAACGACGGCTACTAAAAAAGTAAGAAATGTACAAAAAAGCGTGATGCACGTGCAAGGTAGTTGTTTTGCCAATCAAAACCTATTGCTTTTTCGCCCTTTTCGTAGCAGTCGGTGTCGTCGTTGCTCCCTATTAGGGACCTTAAGATCCGAGGACGGCGACGGCGGAGAAAACGTCGCTGAAAAAGTGAATTCGCGTTCTTTCAATCTTCATAGCGATTACTCCAAGTCACTAACTTTGTCAAATGTAGGCGAACCCTCCTAAAGTTGAATTCCTAAGAACCATATTCAAGTTCAGAAAGAGAGAGGAAATTTCGTCGTCGCTTATGTACTTCCTCTGTACATCGGGAAATTAGGCATTTTCACGTCGTAGTCGTGCAGTGACGGCAAAGAAATGTACAAAAAAGCGTGATACACGTGCAAAATAGTTGTTTTGCTAATTAAACCTATTGCTTTTGTGGCGTTCCCGTTGCCGTCGCCGTCCTCGGATCTTAAGGTCCCTATTAGGGACCTTAAGATCCGAGGACGGCGACGGCAGAAAAAACTTCGCTGAAAAAGTGAATCCGCGTTCTTTCAATCTTCATCGCGATTACTCCAAGTCACTAACTTTGTCAAATGTAGGCGAACCCTCCTAAAGTTGAATTCCTAAGAACCATATCCAAGTTCAGAAAGAGAGAGGAAATTTCGACGTCGCTTGTGTACTTCCTCTGTACATCGTGAAATTAGGCATTTTCACGTCGTAGTCGTGCAGTGACGGCAAAGAAATGTACAAAAAAGCGTGATGCACGTGCAAAATTGTTGTTTTGCTAATTAAACCTATTGTTTTTGTGGTGTTCCCGTTGCCGTCGCCGTCGTCGGATCTTAAGGTCCCTAATAGGCCAACCACGACGGCAACAGCAGCGAAATTGTCGCTGAAAAAGTGAATTCGCGCTGCTTCAAACTTTACCGCGCTTATTACTTCTCGTTCAATTCGTCAAATGTTGGCATTTTTTTCTGGAGTTGAATTCTAAAAGACTGTATCGAAGTTCAGGAAACGAAAAAGAAAGTCGTTGTCTTGTGTTAACGTCCTCCACGACACGTGAAATAAGGAATTTTCACATCGTAGTCTCATGCAGTGACGGCAAAGAAATGTACAAAAAAGCGTGCTGCACGTGCAAAATAGTTGTTATGCCAATCTACACCTATTGCTCTTTTGCCGTTCTCGTTGCCGTCACCGTCGTCGTTGCTTAACCTTCCAAGTGAAAGATCAAGTATTTTAGATGGTTTTACACCATGTAGCACATACAGGAATCCAAAGAAGTAGCCACGTTTACTGAACGTAACTGACTCTGCGAACTTTTATCACATCAAATCTTTCCGAAAAATGTCGTTCCTGACCGACAGCCAAAAACACGAAGTATCCGGCATTAGTTTTCATATGAAAAGTGTATTGCATTTGTCGTCGTGATGCCAGTGTGGATAGAGGACCTTTCTTTCTCTAATGTCCACTTATTTGCGCACCAAGGAACCCCAGAAAATCCTCACCGTCATTGCGGCTGCAGTGCAAGCTGAAGTATTTCCTCTTGTAAATCTATTTTAGTCAACTTTGCTTGAAGAACAGTCTGGATTTGTACAAGTGTGCCAAGGCTTTTGCAGACATTGTCATTCCACAGGTGTGTATGAAAGTCCTTTAAAAAAGATCTTTATAGAAGTATGTGTAAAAGGCTTGCTGGTTTTTGCTTCAGAACTGAAAAAAAGATAAATCAAGTCTGGTATATAACAACGCGGGAGTCACGCCATACACGGAAATTACTTCACTTGCTGCAAAAAAGTTTGTCTTGTGCGGGAAAGCGCGCAACGCGTAAACCAGGTTTTGTTGCAAAAAGTAGAACTACTCTCGACTTTCTGCAACAACTTTTCACAAACTGCAACAACCTGATTTGTTTCTAAACAGTTTTGATTCGTGGGTGGTAAAAAGGTCAATATCGCTATTCAACTCGTTTTGCAGCAGTGCCGCAAAACAAGTAGCACGTTTGTGTTGGTCGTTTTACCACACTTGAAGTTTCTTAAAGGTAAAGATGTCACTTAATCGTGTTTAAGTTGAGCCCTTCAGTTAGTTAAGGGAATGATATGTAGCTCAAAAGCCAGACTTCGAATGATGACAGTTTTGATCCTCGTGTCTTAAGAATGCGAATGGAGGGCGACTCTTTTAGTTTGAGAACATAAGTGACAACGAGAAATCTTTGATGCCAGTGAAGGCTAATTTTGACGGCTTAACTGTTTTCAGGAATATGGAATCACACAAGATGAAAAGCTAGCCATAGCTCAGAGGGTGTGTGTAAGGCTGCTGAGGAAAATCAGAGGAGATTTGCGCCACGCAGACAAGTCAGATATCCATACCCGTCTCAATCCAAAGTATTAACTATAAAATGTTTATGCACAGTGGAGCCTTTGATAATTATGTAATAGTTTCTTGTTCAGAGACCAGTGCTAACAAAATGCATGGCATGACCAGATTTGCCTACATTTAGTCGATTACCTTGCACTCAACTTAAACAATTTACTAGGTAGATCAATGTAAGATTGACAGACTTTCTGTAACGATATGCCAAAATTCTGTTGGCAAGCTGCAGACAACTTACAAAACTGTATTTACAGACCTCTAGAATCTGGCCAAACCTGTTGTGACATTTTCTACAGATAATTCTACCAAGCCTCTGTTGAGCGACGCCTTTCCTCCCCCAGTCTCCTCCCGTTTTATTTTCGTGTTCGCGCTTTCTCAGTTTCGCGAACCCGACTATCTCGGAGCATAGAACAGGCTGTATTGTCAGAACATGGACGATCCGCCCTTACTGTGTTGATAGAACGTTAATGATTTGCCCAGTCTCAGATGACATACAATGACAATGTCCTTAATGTACTGACAGAACTTGGACATGTGACCATAGACTATGGACGTTCTGCCCAAACTGTGATGACAGTCTGTAGTGGATTTTCCTAAGCTCTTGACAAACTTAAACTGCAGAACAGACTATGAAATCTGGTGCGGACAAACCATAGAGAGGCTTCCCAAACTTTAGAGTACTGAGATGCTACCACTGAAAACTATATTGTAAATTACCGACGAACTGTTGACAGGTAGAGCTAACTTGTTGTTACTAATGTTAACTATTAAGGGAGCGTGTTTGTCTAAGGGAAAGTTCATTTAATATGACAAGGGGGGATGAAGATATTGAGGGGGGGCTCCGAAAATTTTTAGACACCCGAAGGGGGGGCTCTGAAAAAATTGTTGCGCTAGGAGGGGGGGCTCCGAAAATTTGTATACTTCAAAACCAACACATGACATCATCATACAGATCGGATGGTTTTCAACTCAACAATTTACAGTCAAACCAGGTCAAGCGTTCCCGTCACTAGCAAACTAATGAATTCATTAATGGGAAAATGATTTCTTTTGTTGATTCAATAATCCATTCATAAAATGAATAATCCAACAATCAAATTGGACCTCAATTCAATAATTAAATGTTGATTTGGTTTATTAACAAAATCTACCTGTTCTTTATTCTTGCCTGTTGAGTTCAATCGTATTTGCTTCCCTTTTCCTGCCGTTTACGATTGCGTTTGTAATTGCCTTTAATCAAAATAACAGCTAGAAGAGACAGACCGCAAACGCAAAGAAACTGACAAAGGCCGGGGATCGAAATCCACCAATCACCGCACATACACTGACCTTAGTTTCACTATCGTGTTTCCTAAGAGGTCAGGTCCGTTGCAGTGAATACTGGAAACAAAATGACGTACATGTAACAGTTTGTTTGGGTTTGAAATTCAGAACTCGCCCGAACTCGACTCTAAGAAAAAAAGGAGAAAAAAAAGTGTAGTTTTTCTAAAAACAGTAATCGAATCAACATTCGATTATGGAATCGAGGCTAAATATGAATATGGGATTGTTCATTTTATGAATGGATTATTGAATCAATAAACGAAATCATTTTTCCGTTAATGAATTTATTAGTTCGTTAGCAACGGGAACGCTTCACCTGGTTTGACTGTAATGACCTGTGCAACTCAGCTATATCACGTGGTTTACAGATATAACAAATGTAGTCTCAGTAATTATTACACTCTTGTTCATCCTAAAAATGCTTTAGAAAATTGTATCACAACTGTATCTCAAGTTTGTCATAGTATAAACCATTGAAGACAATAATGGTAAATATATTTAATACAGTCTAGCGATCTTTTTTCAGGGGAGCAAAGGAATTGAAGGAGGAGGGGGGCTCTGAAATTTTTTCGACTACCAAGGAGGGGCTCTAAAAAATTGAACCGCTAGTGAGGGGGCTGCTAAAATTTCAAGCTTCGAGTTTCAATATCTTCATCCCCCTTGTCATATTAAATGAACTTTCCCTAAGGTTTTGAAATTGTTCGCACAGTAAAATTTTATCATTTAACCTAATTTAAAGCCTTGTCGCCCACTCCACCTATCTTCTCAAATCGTTAAACATAATTGGCAACTTTAACTGTAACAGATGCGTGGTAGTTAGCATATCTTACTAGTTCCAGATTTCGAGCCATTTTTGTCACGCATTAATTCGAAGAAATACATTATTTTGCCTTTAAGGTACTGGATATTCTCTAAGGCCTGAAAGAATTCTATGCAAGTCATTCATCGTAATATCACGACGTCACGTCAGTTTTCTATGTGCTCACTCAATCACGCATCAGTTTGTTTCCAGATCCTTGTGCAGGGAAAGCTCCTGGGCTTTTACACATATCATTTCGATGGCATCTCCATTGCTTACTGTGACGAACAGCTATCCATCCTGAGATGTTCTCTTTACTTCGAGTCTCTGGCAGTTTAACGTTTACAGTTGGGTTATTCAGCGTATTACTGAGTTTTTGGCGCGAGTGTTTTCTTGGAGAACACACGCCAGTCTATCCTAACCAATGAACACTTTGACTACTTGATCTAAATGTCATTAAGCTTGCTAGATACTTCCTTCTCCACTGCGTCCAGAATATCTTAGCAAGTTTTGAATCAGTGTCCATCGGTTCCTAGGATTGAGCGCCAAGTCGTCATATGAGTTGTCCCTCTAGCAGGCTAACAATATAAGAGTTAGGCCTCGACGCTAGTTCGTTCATTTAAGTGGCGTCGAGTTCAGAAGAGCTTCTGTTTTCTTGATGACAGGTCTTAGTTCGTCGTCTTATTTATCATTATCTCATTCAGCAAGGCCAGTCACGAGTGGAGGATTCAATCCTATCTGCCAATGTTTGCAGCCTTGATCGTCATCTTTTCCCTTTTACTGTATCTTCTGGTGTTTACCTTTGCTTATCATCTTGTCTCACTTTCTTATCAAGTGATATTATTTTGACACTTTCTCCCCTTAACTGATGCTAGCCAAGATCAAGATTTTCTCACTGGTTTTGTATTTTATCCATGACACCCAAAGCATAATCCATTTTTTGATTGTCACTGGTCTATTAAAATATATAATCACGAAGGCAAAATGTAACACTTTGCTAATCTTTTTTCCTCCTCCTTTCGAGGATCCATTGTGCATAACTGTATGCAGCTGGACGTATAAGCTTTAAACTCCCCAAAATACTTCGAAGAAAATTTGTAAAATTCAAAAGAAGATTTGACTCCCAAGAGCCTCCGTGTGTATCCTTGGGCTGTCATGACTCATAGTTTCTTTAAATCCGGTGCTAGGAGGTCTACAAGACATGATATTTACCTCCGACAGGAAAATGAGACGTTTCGCCCGGATGTTTTAAGAGTTAAACCAAATCACATAAGTGCCTTTAGAAAGCTTAAATCTCTAGCACCTAGACTACATATTATTCCTAAATGAAATTGCTAGAAGGAGAGTGTTAACAACGACAGCTGTAGGGAAAAGCAATCGATATGTTTCGCTGCTTACACATAATATTACTAACATTCGTATCACTAAAATACACTGATATTATTGCTAACCTTTCATTTTTTTACGTTGTTTTGACTTGTTTTTATAGTTACTCACAGAGTGTGGTAACTCCTCATCGCCATGTTCGGACGAGGTTGTACTTCACCAGTGAGAGCCATGTTCACACTGTTTTAAATGTTTTCAGGCTTGGAAAGCTTTTTGAGGTTAGTTTAGTTTTCTAATTAACAAATACCTTTTCAACTGACTGTCTTTCGCGTCGACACGAAAAATTATGCGGTATGGACTGAACAGCAACAGGCCCAGGAATAGAGCAAGAGGGACGACGAAGCGGGAGCGTTGGGTAACGAGACAAAAACGGCTGCTCAGGAAATAATAATAATAATAATAACAGGGTGCTGTATTTATATAGCGCAACATGTCCTAAAAGCTCGTGGTGCTTTACAATAGTAAAAATACCAAGATTAAAATTAAAAAATTACAATTGCATTTTCTCTGATGACGATAAATATTAAAATGTTTCTTTACAATATTAAAAGAAAAAAAAGTTTCTCAAACGACCTCTAAAAAATAAAAAAAATAACTAATAAAATGCTTCTCTAAAAGGAAATGTTTTTAATTTGTTCTTAAAAATATTTAGGGATTGGATTAATCTTATGCTGTTACGTAATGCGTTCCAAAGTCTGGGGGCAGCCACATGGAAAGCCCTGTCTCCATAAGAATTCAGATTAGACTTTTGCGTGACAAGGAGATTGTTTGAAGAGGATCTTAGTTGCCTTTTTGTCAACAATATATTTCGGAGCCATGCCATTCATTGCTTTATAAGTAAGAATTAGTATTTTGTACGCTACTCGCTGGTTGATTGGTAGCCATGACGAAGTACTGGTGTTTATTTTCTGAGCTTCGAGTTCTGGACACCAGCTACAAGCTAAATTTCTCTTTGAACTATTCTTAGGATGTACCAGACGAGCAGTGGCAGAGAGCCGTTGAATTCCTATCAGAGGTGCCAGAGCTGAATTACATGACTCAGATTGTACTGATGTTGTATGAGGATCCTAAAGCTGACCCCCAGTCAGAACACCGATTTCACGTGGAAATGCACTTCTCGCCTGGAGCTAAGACCATGGATGATCCTGAGTTCCTCGCACGCAAATCACCCTGTAGGAAGCGTAGTGTCGAGGATGCAAGGTTTTCTACTAGTAGTGGAATCCCTTCAGATGCTGTGGTGGAAGGGACTGTAAACAGGGCGCAAGGAGTTGATGAGTCACAAAATGAGAAGGACGTTAAAGGCCTTCCCAATGCAGACCCTGGTCTCACCTTGCCGCCCGATGCTTCAACCACGGACTCGCGTTCTACAGCGTCGAAAAAGAGCGTACAAAACTTTGATACGAGTGATCTTGTAAGCGTTGTTGCGACCTCTCTGGGACCAGATCTTGTGGAGGACGAAAAGAGTTTGAATGAAACAGGCTATGAACCGTTCAATGACAAGCCATTTGATGAGACTGTTTATGCTGGAAACGAGCGGCCGCGGTGTGCAATTGGACTTGATAACTTCTCCGATTCTGGTTTGTGTGAAGGCACAAGTGACAGTGCTGTTACGTCTGGCACATCAATTGAAGAATCGTCCGCAGAGGAGGCGGTGAATACCAAGCGGCGGAGTTCTAGCGCGGGTGAAATTGAACTGCAACAACAGGCTTCCTTGAAAGACAGTAAGACGCAGCAAAAAGGACGTGAAGGCGAGTTACGGACCAAATCTGATAGTGACGTTCATTCAGCTGTTGTTATACCTCGAAAGGTTTCTGTACAAGGGCAGAATTCAGTGAAATGCATTATTGACGAAGACAAAACGAATCAATCTGTGAGGAAGGCACGACCAAAGTCACATTCTGTTAGTGTAGCCTACCCTGTTACTTACGCGACTCCGTTACCAAGGTGTGAGTCAAGTGATGACATGAACGTTCCCCCGTTTTCAGAAGGTAAGGTTATTAACTACACAAGTTAGTGTGAGGCGTTTGGGATGTGGCGTAGAAGAGTTACACAGTTATATAACACATAGGCCACTTTGGAAAATACCCTAGTATTCTCTATTTATGGGCGATCTCAATATTCTGTTCACATTGTTGGGAGCTGTTTTTAGCCTTACAGCCCCTCAACATTTTTGCAGATCCGGTATACTGAAAAGGGTTAAATGTCATTTTAACATTGGCTCGGCATAGTCTCAACATTTCTTTTCTTCGCGTTACTTTGCGGAACTCGGGTAAGGGTAGAGTGATAATGGTCATTATTATCTATTCATATGTGTTGGGGGAGTACTGGGGCTGTTTGACCTTTAATTGTCTCACAAGTGCTCACAGAATGTGGAGACAATATTGCGGCTTACCACGCACAGAATGTTGAAACAATATTAGGCTCTTTCTAGTTGGTTATTCATATGGTACAAAACCGCCATGCTTGAGATCAGGGGACACACTAAGACAAGACAAACAAAGGAAATTACCATTTTAAATGGTGTGACCCTCTTGGTTGTCTTGTCCCATTGCGTTCCTTGCTCTCCAGCATGGTGGTTTTGAACCACTTGAATGACCAGCTGCAAATGGCCTGGGAAGCTGCCCACCTACCCCTCTCTTAAGCCAACATTTTGCCCTAAGTGAGAAGTAAGCGTTTAAGTTGGCTTAGGGGAGGGGTAGGTGGGCAGTCTCCCAGAAACGTATAATGATCCTATTGTCGTATGGCACGCAGTAGTTCTATATAGGTCAGTTTGTTGAGAAGCCTACAATTACGTTTCATGAGCAAGCTCCCTTCACGTGCTCTGGATCCTTTTGTACCATTCTCAAGGTCTTTTTAGGACTTGGCAAATGAGGGTGCCACTGTCCCCCTTCTGAAATATTTTTTCTCGAAAGAGGGCCCAACGCTGTTTAACATTTTCTTACGACTTAGTTTGATAAGTAGTTGACCCACTCTCTCTTTTTCCAATGTCTTGCTGATTTTCCTAATAGTTTTAGGGTATTTTACAGATAAACTGGTTATATGAAATAGTAATTAATGCATGGTTCTTATTTAAAGCTCTCTAAAATAAGACGTGGTTACCTTTTTATTGATCCCTTGGTCATTTGCATCTATTTATGCCGCCTCCATTACAAGAAGCTGGTAGAATTACTTCCAACGCAAGTAACTAGTAGATTTGCGATAAAAATTGTCATCATCTTGAGTTCCAGAACTTTTAAAAATCATCCTTTCACTACCTCACATTGAAAAACTCGATCCCCTGGTTTCAGATGTGCGTCTGTAGTAACTGTAATACGTGTCTCGGAAACCTCGCGAAACTCTGTGTGATTGGCGCCATTGATGGGTGGCGCGAGGAACTGGATGGGTGAGCAGCCGCTAATGTCCTGTCGTGAAGACTCCTTTATCTTTCAATGTTATTGAATTTGTTTCATTTGTTTCGCTGTCCTTTTTTATTCTTAAACTCGTAAAGCACTAAATATTTCGCGTTATTTGGGCCTCCACATGGAAAACAAATGGCAAGTTCGCATGCAAACTCAGCCGGTGCTTTCAACGCGGAACGAGGTGCGGAGCTGAAACCAGTATTTAATCCATCGGCTGGAGAAAGCACCAAGTTAATTGTGGGTTTGGCTCGGTATAACATAAATTCAAAGATAAATTTCCGGGAATAAGCAAGGTTTTCGTGGTTAAGACCGAACAGAAAAACTCTTTTGATACACATAGCCGACAGAAGGAAGCTCGTCTGCGAAGTGAGACGCAATATGAATGTGCTTTTATCTTGATTTTCGCTCTCTTATTTTTAAGCCATGGTACAAATCGCTTCGATGTTCTCTTTAAAATACTTTGTCCTTAGGAATTCATCGCCAAAAGCATTTCTAGATCATCAAAACGGCAGGAGAAACAACCAGCCAAGTGTTCCGTGGTTTTGTTTTGTCGCGTCTTTGTCGTTAAGCAACTGCGGACACCAATCCAATTTATAGAAATATATACATTCAAACTTTCTGCTCGCTAAACGATCCACGCACGACATGAATAGCCCCCGTTCGATATCCTCAAATTCTAACATGACTCCAAGGCTTTCTGGTCATTTTTCTATATTTGGTTTGGTTTTCTTTGTGCTCAAGTCTCCTCTGGGAATGGCGAGACAATGAAGTCGTGAAAATTTGCAATTTTAACCCTTACGCCCGGGAGTGAGTCATGTTAGAATTTTAATATAACGAACCTGTGCTATCGTGACAAATTTATAACCTCTCTTCGCAAGGTCTTGTTTCTAATATATTATATTTCCATTGTAGGGCACTTGACTTTATTCTACGGCTATGATAGTATCACTCTGTGTCCACAGCCAATAGCCCACGTTCGATATATGAAAATTTTAACATGACTCCGAGGCTTTAGGATCAAAATTGCAAATTTTTCACCACTCCATTGTCTCGCAATTCCCAGAGGAGACTTGAGCACAAAGAAACTGAACTAAAGCAAATATAGAAATGTGACCAGAAAGCCTCGGAGTCATGTCAGAATTTTAATATTTCAAACGGGGGCTATTCATGGCTTGTTGTAATAGTTGGTTAAAATTGAATGAAACAGTTTGGGTACTATTCTTGTGGCTGTTTTTAAACAATTATGGAGTATTCGAGAAGCGCTTGTGGTTCGCCTCATTGTGTTTACTGCACAAATCTGAGACATCCAATATCAACCGTACACGTGCAAGGTTTGTCCTGGAATGAATCCCTTTCTTTACTTTGGTGCTAGCAAGGCAGACTACCATCCTCTTTAGAGCTAACCATAATCCCACCTTAGTCACGTACACACTAAAAACACCAGCAGAGATGTTGCACTTTGATGCGAAAGCGTTTCACTTCGAAATACCTTTCATACGACAAGCAATTGTCAAACACTTGTGTAGCATAGTTCTGTTTATAGTTCTGGTGGCTGGTTTGCTTTCCCATTAAACTGCTGTGGCATCACTTTACAATGCATTTACTATACGTGAAATTGTGCACGTTCTTTTTTAATGTTCTACCTGTTATGACGGTTTGATAGGTTTGAGTTATTCTCAGATAGATGATGTCGCGGTTTTTGAAATTCGCAATGAACGACAACTCCAAAATTGACAACATTTGGCAAGTTTTATTTCCTGACGCATTGACTGAAAATAGTTAATAAGGAGTTGTTCTAGCATTAGACGCAATAGATTGTTTTGGGCATTTTTTTAACTCGTCCCCTTCCCCTTCCGAGTCGCAAGTCAATTATGTCACTCATCTCCAATTTCATTGTCTTCCTTGCACTACCACAACATTGCAGTTGTCTACTCTCTACCACCACCACCCCCGCCTTATTGTTGTCAGGGACTTTATGATCCAGCGGCGCAAAGGAAACGAAAACGTCGCTTAAAAAGTGAATTTGCGTTCTTTTAGTCTTAATCGCAATTATATTTACCCACTTACTTTGTCAAATGCAGGAGAACTTCTCTGGAGTTGATTCTTAGGGACCATGTCCAAGTTCAGGAAGATAACTAATATTTCGTCGCTGCGTGGTTATGTTCGCGAATTAGGAATTTTCACGTGTTAGTCGTGCAAATACGGCCAAAAAATATGGAAATAATGCGTTATGCATGTGCAAAGTTGTTCTGTTGCTTATGAAACCTATTGTTCTCGTTGCCGATCCATTGTTGGATCTTTAAGTCCCTATTGGCTTTCCACCATTAGCAACACCAAATTTCCATAATCTTTCCTCTTCCACCCCCGCCACATCTCCGTTGTCTTTCATCTGTCAAAACCACCAAATTTCCATTGTCTTTTTTCTTCCACCACCGCCACATTTCCATTGTCTTTCATCTGTCAAAACCACCAAATTTCCATTGTCTTTCCTCTTCTACTACCGCCACAGTTCCGTTGTCTTTCCTCCACCATTACCACCGCCACATTTCCATTGTCTTTCCTCCAACGCCACCACCACATTTGCATTGTCTTTCATCTATCAAAACCACCAAATTTCCAATGTCTTTTCTCTTCCACCACCGCCACATTCCCATTGTCTTTCCTACTACTCAGTTCCATTGTCTTCCTCCACCATTACCACCACCACTTTTCCATGGTCTTTCATCTATCAAAACCACCAAATTCCCATTGTCTTCCCTCTTCTACCACTGCCACATTTCCATTGTCTTTCCTACCATCACATTTCTATTGCCTTTCCTACACCACCACCACCACTGCCACGACCACATTTCCATTGTCTTTCCTGCAGCGCCCCCACCACATTTTCATTGTCTCTACCATTACCACTACCACATTTCCAATGTCTTTCCTCCACCACCACCACCACCACATTTCCATTGTCTTTCATCCATTGCCGCCTCCACATTTCCATTGTCTTTCCTCCTCCATCGCCACTACATTTCCATTTTCTGTCATCCACCATCACCACACTTCTGTTGTCTTTCCTCCACCACCATCGGCGATCGCGACTACCACAGTTCTGTTATCTTCCCTCCACCTCTACCACTACATTTCTATGATTTTCACACCTTGATCGCCACCACCACCACATACTGTCGCACTTCGACCAACATCACCTCCGCCATAACACTTTTATTGTTTTCCCCCTACCCTCATTGTCCGCCACTCTCTATTTTTTGATGTTTTTTCTTCCCTCTTCTTATTAAATTCTATTTTTCCGTTTAGTTGTTTTGGAAATGGGGTAAAAACATACTCTACAGCCATGCCACAGCAATTAAATTAGAAACCTCTGCAGAAAACGGCGTGAGATATCCTTACAATACTGCTCTTTGTTAAGCATGCTTTGATATTTAATTTTCGTTCCCACTACAAGCATGGTGGCGTAATTGGACTTGGAACTGACTCTGGAGAAACAAACTGTTGAATCTTAGGTAATAAAATGACATTTTTGACGTTAGCAGGCGTTTTATGGCATCTTTACAAGAAATATGAAAACACATCTGTTGAAATAAAAAGTATTCCAAAAGTCTCAGTCTCACATTCCAAAATCTTTACATGTATCGTGCTTAGCAGCGAGAATTACGAAGTGGTGCGATTATTTGAAAGTGCGAAGGAAAAGTGTGTACCTCCTGGCTTCAGTCCTATTAACGCATTATCAAGGCTTGCATGCTATTCCTATCTAACGCTTTTAGGCATTTCATATTGCTTAACATATCTGGCATTTTCATGGTCACTATTAACAAAAACAGGACAAATGCTCACCATTGATGAAGAGGATGATGAATGTGACTATTTAACGGATGTATTTGAACGGCAGCGGAAGAGCGGCGTAGACGACGACCACGAACCGGATGAACTTTACACACCAAAGGATGAGAGTCAAAAAGAGGAGCGGAGAAAAGGTGACAAATGAAGGTGGCATAGTGACAGGAAGAAAGGAAGAAAGTCAGTTGTCAGAAAGTTACCTTGTTTCACTCATTCATCAGGGCCATGCTTCCGCTTCGTTTTAAACTTGTTGCTTGTAATTCCTTCATCTTCCTTCAACTGGAAGTAGGTGTTGTATGTTGCAGTGTTAAAAAGGTTGTGATAGAGCTCCTATAAACTCCAAGAGCTACCAAAAAGATTTTAAGATCATCCCAAATTTTTATTTTCAGAATCTCCAGAAACAGATAGTATCATTTCACTGTCAAGCCACACAATGTTCATATTGACTGTATTTTCGTTGTTTTTGTTGAAAAACGCTCGTATTTATTGTAAACTGCGTTCACTTATCATTTTTTTTTTAGTTTTCCATTTCACTTTCCTCCGCTCTTAACCACATGTTTTTTGAGTTTCTGTTGGTGCATTTGCTTTGTTTGTAACATTTTCTGTCCATAAACTACGGGAATGATGGTTACACACTTTTGGCGCTAAGATTCTTGGGATGGTGAAGGTTAACAATATAAGGGGGTACCACGAAGCTCCAAGAAGGAGTTGTTTTTAATTTAAATTAGCGAACAAAACAATCGATGAATGAACCAGACTGCAGGTGTGTTTTCAAAGGCCAATGAAAATAGAGGTTTCTGAAAACATCGCGGCTCCCGGATGTAATTATAAGCAATGATTGGTTGATGGTTGCCATTGGATGCTATCGTCCAATCATAGCAAACGATCCCAGGAGGAGTTGCGCCGACAGCTTGTACCACTTCTCTTTTTAGTTTATGTCGTTAATATTCATTGTCAATAAAAGCTTTCACTTTCTGTCAGAAAGATAGTCTTTCTTTGTTTGCGCGTGTCACATAATCACTTGTAACTTGTACATTACGTGCATTCTTTGTTCTTGCTGGAGCTTTACCGCTAAAAGTAGTGAATTGAAAATCTGGATAAAGGCTGGATAAAGGCGCTTAGTTCCACTGTACACATCACAGCTCGTGTTATGTTCGTTCTTATGTTTCAGCTCATATAATTTCATGCAAAAATGAATGACGTTTATGTCCAACTGAATGTAATTTTTAATTGACAGGAACGGAAAAACCTTCGTCAGCCAAATCAGACACCACGTCTGAGCGCCCGCGGAAGGTCACCTATGACTTGGTGAATAAGCAGGGAAGTGACGAAGGTGATCAATTATTGAGAATAGTAAAGTCATCTCCTGCGTTAAAGAAAGGATCGCCAACCAGGAAACGAAGTGTTGGTAAGATATCGACTTTCTAGAATAGTCTGTGTTACTCAGCAAAACCCTGGTCAGATGGCTTCTTGCAAGTTAATTAGTTTGTATTTTTTTCTGCAAACACTCTTCTTACCGCATATCATGTGCACAAGTGAAATGTGTAAGAGGTCTTTTACAACCGAGCTTTAAGCAAAGACGTTTTTGAGCAGCACGCGTCAACCGGAAGTGGACTTTGTGCATTCTTGGGTGATAGTGTTAGCCAAATTTTCAGGCAGACCGTCTCTTTGAGAACAAAGACTCATAACAGTACAAATTCAGTAGCGTCAAGGCATATTTGAAGGAAAAAGGACTCACTTTCGGTTAACGTGCGTCGCTCAGAAACGCCTTTGTTTAAGCTCCCTATTTACAATCCTGTGGCACTCAGCACAGGTATAACGAGGGTTTGGCTGACTCATGTGATAAACCGGCCATATTGTTGGTCAGTACATTACACACTTAATGTCAGATCCCTCGGGAAACCAGTTAGTTTTGTTTTCCTTCGAGTCCTGATGTTTCCCGAGACGGGTGTATCATGTTCGGGATACATTTGATCAGTTAGTCCAGGCCATGTGACCAAGAATCAACCAATGGCAGTCCCTGCTTAGTTGAGTGAAAGTATAGGAATATAACAATGCAAGTTGTTTGCAGATTTTGCACAATAGTAAAGACTCAAATTTTTGAAAACCTGACCACGGTGTCTGTGATTTGCAAGAAATATTTCCGTGACTTAATTTATTACATGGCTTAAATAACCTGTTACAGTGGTTCAGATACTAAGGAGTTTAAGTAACCTCCACGGCAAAGGTAGTGAAAAAGTAATGGCATGTAAGAGTGAATTTCCTTTTTTCCATTATTCCAACTCTCTCAATCTGTTAAAAGTATGCGAATGTGTCTAGAGTTGCATTGTTTAGGGACGAGATCCAAGTTTCCAAAGATCCATATCATGTGTGTATGCAAGTCCTCAGTGAAACGTTTCATCAGGACATTTCACGTCGTACTAGAACAGAGGGCGACAAAAGTGCAGCCTGAAGTATGGCACATGCAGAACTGTTGTTTGGCTGATTTCATCCAGGTTTTTTTTTTAATCGCATTGTCGTGGTTTAGTATAATCCTCGTGGTTTCTTAAGCTGTTTACTGGGTTGGTTGGGGAAAGTTAAGTGAAAATCAAAAAACGATTGACGACACAAATCGTTGAATTAGACGGAGATTCCGCCCTTTACCCGTCGTCAATATATATTTTTATTTTATTCCAGTCCCTCTCCCCCGATTCTCTTACACTAACACAAATGAACAGCACTAACACGTTGGGTTGGTAGTCTTTTGGTTCCGAGCTTTCAGACGTAGAAAGGTTGTTACCATTGAGTGATCAGTATTAACACAGGTTACGTGCGAGATTCCAGAAGTTTTTTTGTCACCTGCTAGTACCCGCTCTCCTTAACCCAAACTACTTTTCTTGTTTTACACAGGATCTGCAACGTCTGCTATCCGTGCGGTGAGAAAGCTTTCTTACGCCATCTCAAGTGCATTGGTCGTCAGACCTTATTCGGTTACAAAGAGCACAAAGAACAGTCGCAAACCACCAAGTAAGAAGCGGTTTTTTCACTTCACTACTAATAAATAAAACTAACACCAATAGCAATATTTGTTTTCCCTTTCCTCTACACATTGCATCTCCTCGCGGGACGCAAACTATCTGTAAACTGTCTGTGGGGCGAACTAAACCTTTCCAGCGACGCAAACATAAGGGCAATGGTGTTCACTCAGTATACTGTATGCATAAGATGACTTACAAGGTTATGTTCACACTTAGTGACCAGACGTGGTGCCCACATTCGCTAATCGCTGGACACTAATGTGAACGTCTTTAAAATGGCGTCTGACACACAGAGCGATACGATATGCGCAAAGTTACATGTCAAGTACCTTAGGTGTGAACGCAGCACTATTTTGTGCCGGTACACAGGCCTTGGGTCCAAAGGCACCGTTGCTCGGGCACCAAGGGGGAACATAGCTTTAATCAATCCAGACTCACCTTGTAATAACTACTACTGCCGAACAAGTGGCCCCACAGAACATAACAGAGAGATTAAGAGTCGTGTTTACGGCAAACGGCAGATTCAAGTTGAGAATTTCTCAGAATAGAAGGTAAGCAAATAAAAACTGTCCAGAACAATTCTTATGGATAAAACTGGCGTGAAACTACTTATTTTTGAGTAGAAGATATAAACAGTAAACGACAGTTAAGGGGAAAACTTGATCACGTGGTACAAATTCACGTTAGCCGTTTGGTGTAAACGTAATCTCTCTATTGTTGGTCCTAAGCGGAGTTTGTCTTGCTTCAAATTAATTTGAAATCACTTTTAATTTAAGTTGCAGATTTTTACGAAGAAATGACCAAGGTAGAATCGCTGAATCCCTTGCGTACGTTGCACAACTCAGTGCCGCTTAAAGAAATGGACGGATTTTTTGATAAAACAGCAGGGGAAGGTGCTGAAACCTTGGTTACGCCTATCAACACACCCTCTAGAAAACCTCCTTCAAGAAGGCTTGCTGCGCGATCAGCTCCTAATCCCGTGCAATCAGCCGAGAAAAAGAGTTCCGCGGGGAGTGAGCCGGATACGGAGGGTGTTACCGACCTGTTAACTGAGGCCATTCAAAAGCTAGATTCTTGACAAGAGTTTTTTACGATATTTAAAATAGTTCATTCAGTTATTGCCAAATTGTACAATAAAAGAGCCCATAGAACGTTTTCACTTTTCACTCACGTGGCCAGCATCTATGCAAATTTATTAGAACAAAAGAAAGTCTTTACATAAGAATAAAGTTTTACTCCCAAAGGATTGGTTTGGAACATCAACATGGCCGCCATTTGCACATCTCCCATGATATACCTTGTATACCCTCAAAATTTTGTGTACGCATTGTTTTCAGTTACTCTTGGGACAACTGTAAAGCTTCGTGCAAATGGACGCAACAACTCCCAACGTTGGCCAAACAATGTTGCGTCTGTTTGCACCGGGCTAAAAGTTTAACCGGTTTCAACTGAACTTTGCACAACAACACTCAAACATCATCCAACAACATGCAACAGGGTGTGCAAACGGACGCAATATGTAGCATCCAACAATGTTGGGAGTTTTTGGCCAACCACGTTGCGTCCGTTTGCACGTACCTTGATAACCAGGAGAAATTAAAAAGCAAAGGTTATACAATTTTATTTATTTTTTTTTTTTTTTTGGGGGGGGTAGCAAACAATGTGTTTTCTGTGAGATGTGCAAATGGGGACTCATAGATTATTTAAATGTTGTTTAAATTATGCAAATCGAGACAACAAAAATACAAATTTTAACTTGTACTGGTGTTTTGCCTTGCAGTTTCTTCAGAATTTTTGTTGTCATTTTATTGTTTATTTATTATTATTTTTTTACCACATGATTTCTTTCAATAAAGTTTTATTCTACAAATTGAATTTTTATGGCGTTCAGCCACGATATAACGTTATTGTGGATGATACTTAAATTGGGCAATGAGAAGGTGCTCAGAGTCCTGTTTTTGTATTTGTCATGTTTTGCACACGTTCGTATTTTTGATGTAAGCTGGGTGACTTTAAACTTGATAACACCCATCACTTATCGCGTACATTTGACTCACATTTTTTTGCGGTTTGGCCTTCTAAATTCTCTCCGAATTTTTGGAAAATGCAAGTATGGACGCCGGCTTCTTTATGCTTGTTTTGTTAGTACGAAAACGGACCGTTTCAGTCCACATTCTTTTGGTCTCTTGTTTTACCATAATTTTTGAGTTCTACGTTGACTGTATTTGCCGAATATTGTCATTTGACGCGGGTGTTTCGCATGTAAGTTGTAAATGTGTAATGTCGTGGACAAAATAAAAGTTTTTTTTAGCGAAAGGAACACACAAGCTGATGTTTTTATCATTATGGTGAAAGAAGGGCGCGCCTTCATTGAAACCTTCTCCGTTTGGTCGGTGCCTTAGGGCCTGTTCACATGAAGGTGGGGGACCCTAGGTAGGTGAGGTAACCCGCTTGTCCATATAATCTTTCATTTTCATTTGATCACGTTTACATGATATGTGGGGTGACCCGCCACATGTTACCTCATCTATCTGGGGTCCTCCACCTACATGTCAACAGGCCCTCATCTTACCCTGGCTCAAGGCCACGGCGCATGCTAACAAAAGTGCGAAAGCCGTGCCCATCTACCCCACCCCACCTCAAGGGGCATTTATCGGGGATCTTCGGAAAGCTGTATATGCCCGCGTTAGGCCAGCAGACCCACGGCGGTGCCTTAAAATCTGTGCAAATGTCCCACCCTAGGGACAAAACAAAAGGTATGTTTTCTTTAAAGACGCCAAAAATCGCAAATTCACGTACTGCGTAAACAGTATTTTAAAACCTTATTAGTGAAACTGAAAATAACAATAATGTGCCGAATAAATATCAACTAGTACTTAGCATACTGTTATCTGAGAGTGGTCCCGATTTTCGGATAGACTCCTAAGAAGAAGACCGTGAGAAATTTTTCCATACGAGGAAACATCTTTTTTGCTGAAACGTGTTTTAATTTCTTTGCAAAGCATCCGGGCTACAGCTGTTGCGCCAAGGCTGTGTGACGACACGGACGAATCAGCTGATAATCCGGGAATTCCAGCAAATTCCCGCACTTTCAATCGGCATATGTTCTGCTTCGCCCATATGTGTTTATCGCGGTGAGTACAGTGTTAATATATTATGCTGCTTGCATAGTTGATCGGTTTCTCTGTAATGTTCTAAGCTTATTTAGAGTAGTAAAGCTATCGGGAGACATTCTTTAAATCTACTGAATCTCTAAGAACACGAAATAATCGGCTACATTTTTGCATTATCGAATCCTTTTGACCATATATTGAAATGTGTAGTGTTGATCAATAGCATGAGATTTGAATTTGCCTGCTAATACAGCCTCCCCTCATTGCTCCGTGTTGTTGGTAAATTTCGTGAAATGTCCCTAGTGACGGGAAACGATGAGAGGCGGCGAATTCGAGGCTAGATTTAAAAGTGCTACAACACTTATGCATCAGTCAATTCCACCTGCGCCCAGCACCCCCCCCACCCGCCCCGCCCTGGATGGCAAATTCCCGGGGGTGGGGACTCTTGAGCTGTCAAATCCCCCGGGGTGGGGACAAGAGGGCAAATGCCCCATCCTTCGTCAAAACTGCAACATTTTTTATTGATCGCACAGTCGAGTAGTGCCATTTTAAGCAGTTTAATGTGCGATTTTTTGTTTCAATTAACGTCTTCCTTTGAAATAGTGCTATTCTAATTAAGACTTCACCCCATGATGACACCAGTTTATGGTTTTAGTATTGCAGCTGGAATTGACTGATGCATTACCAGTGGCAGATCCCCACCTTCAGATTAGGCGGGGAGAAAGGGGTAGGCATCACCCAAACCCTGAGAAAAGGGGGAGGGGGACGGTCTCACCAAAACTTTTTTCCGGGTGTTTGGGCAACAGTTTGGTCTAAAAATAAGGGCCCTCCCCTGGATCTGCCACTGCTTACTGGCCACCAAAATATGAGTTAAGCTTTATGCTTTTGAATCCTTTTATTAAACTACCCAGACTTGAAGGGAAATCATAATTTAAAGAATGAGAGCAAGTGATAAAAAAGTAAATCTCAACTAGTCTTATTTTGTGTATGTTTCATCAATCTTGGCCTGTGAAAATATATCAACTGGGCCTTTTTTTCCCCTAGCCCACCCCCCTCTCGCCCGCTGGGAAGGAAGTTTTAGCATATGGTCTTAACAGGTATGTGCCACTGAACAGGGTACAGTTTTCAGGATCTGAAGGCTTACATGCTCTGCTGCACGCCTTGTATTCAAAGAAAACAAATTTTGTCATATTACACCATTGCTACAACTGGTTACCCGTAGCATATCAAATAGTTTTTAAAATTTATTGTTAACTTTTAAGGCTATTAATAAACTAGCTCCGACTTACATTTCCGAACTTGTATCTCTGAAGGACAGTGGGGGGAGGGGGGAAGTAACTATCTAAGATTAAATGACAGCAAACTTCTTTACATTCCATCATGAAAGTCAATATTTTTCCACACTTGGTGATCGATCCTTTTAAATGGCTGCCCCAAAATTATGGAACGATCTTCTCCTTGTTATTAGAAATAAATCTTCAGTCATTGCCTTTAAAAAGTCTCTTAAAACTTATTTATTTCAGAAGGTGTTTCCTAGCTAATTTATTGTTTTATTGTTTTATAAAGAAGGATTTGTAAATAGGATGTTAGAATAATTAGTCATTGTTTTTAGAATTTAAGACTTACTATTTTTAACAAATTATTAGGTGCAATGTGCAAATAGGACTTTAAGGATTAATTAGTCATTGTTTTTAGAATCTTAGACTTATTATTTTTAATATATTGTTAGGTGCAATTTGTAAATTATAGGACTTTAAGGATTAATTAATCATTGTTTTTGGCTATGTATTAGGAGTTTAGGATTTTGTTGAGTCAATGTAATGCACAGATGAAAATTCCTTTTCCTGGATTGATATTTGCGCAATACTTGCGTTAATTTTTGCTGGGTAGGTGCCACTGGCCTCTCAGAACCCCTACCCCATTATAGTCTATTCTGTGGCCAGTTATAATGTCTTACCCCAAAAAATCCGAAAATGTGCGATCCATTCTAGTAACTGTATTGAAAATGCAACCCCATTCTAGTCAATCCAGTGGTGAAAATGCAGCCCCATCAGGTGGCACATCCCCATTAGCCTCTTATAAGGAAGTACCTCCCCCGTGGAGTTGATCCTAGCAGTGTTTGATTAGAGAAATTTAGACACATGTTCGGCAAGCAAAATACTAAGTCAATGTGTACCACGTGATCATCCTTTCCCTAAGCTTTATTTCTTAGTCTCCCTTTTATAATGTGATTTAATATCTCACTGTTGATTAATATGGCTTAGTTTGACAAGGTAGTTTTGGCTTTAATCTTTTCTTTGACCACAACCACAACTGTATTTTTTGTATTTTCATGTTCAATGTTGAACCGCCTAGTTAGCTCAGTTAGGAGAGCACCGGTCTGCGAGCGGGAGGTCAAGGGTTCAAACCCTGGCTGGACCAACACTCAGGGTCTTTAAATAACTGAGAAGAAAGTGCTGCCTTTGTAATGATATCTATAAATGGTTAGACTTTCTAGTCTTCTCAGATAAGGATGAAAAACCGTAGGACCCATCTCACAGCACTTTCACTGATTTGTTCTTGTGGGACATAAAAGAACCCACATCAATATTCGAAAAGAGTAGGGGTCATAGACCCCGGTGGTGTGGCCAACCTTTCCGGGTTGTGGGATTGGGTAGGGATGGCAGTTCGCATGGGACCTGATCTGAATCCTGGTGTTGCTCAATTTAAGCATCCAGATTGCACCTAATTATTGTAGTATGGAGTACTTGAGTTTTCCCAAATTTTGAGATCAACAAAGTCTTTTTTTTTTTTTTGCTTTTTGTCTAAGTTCAAGTTCAATTTCAATTTGAAATTTATGTTTCCTTATTAACATTCACATTTTCCTTCAAACACCCCATTTCAGCGAAATAGCATACAGCTAATCAAAGCAGGAGGAAATTAAAATTTATGTAGGATTACATAGAAAAAGGAGAGGAGAGCAAACTCATTATTTCAAAAAAAAAAAGCACTGGCACATGAATTTTAGGAAAAATTTACAGTAAGTGGATAAATTTAAAAGTTAAGTAAATTAAAAAGTTTGTGTGACTAGAAAGGAATTTATTGGTTAAATTGCTTGGGAAAGGAATTCTGTTGGTTGATTGGTTAGTGAAAACCTATAATAATGTGGCATACCTGGACCAGTAACCCGAAGTATTATTTCCAACTGCATTTTTTGTTGAGATTTTTTTTTTCCGACAATGGATTTTTTTGTGAATCTTTTTACTCCACCATTCCCTCTTTCTGCACTTTCATAATTCCTTCTCAGAAAAATATAACATTAAGAACCCTTGGGTGTTTTTGTTTGTTTACAGACACACTTGTTAAAAAAAATTGACATG